CAACAGCCAGTTTTGAATTCGCCTTCAGCCCCCCTCGAGTACCATGAAGTTGTTTGGCGCCCTCCTTGTCGCGTCCGCTGCCGCCACCAAGCAGTCGGTGAGCACGCTGTCGGCGGATGAGCGCTCCGAGCTGCGCGCCGAGTTGGCCAAGTGGCGCGAAGAGTTTGGCGCTGCGGCCGAGGCGCAGGGTGTGATGCCCCGCGCCATGGAAGGCTCGAGCCCGTTGGACGCGGAAAACGACGCGCTCCAGCGCTTCTACGACAACAAGCTCGCGATCGAAGAGGCCAGCCGCAACAACCCTGAAGCCACGTTCGACTACAACCACCCGTTTGCTCTGATGACGCAAGCTGAGTTCAAGAAGTTCGTGGAGGGTGTGTCCTTTGAGGAAAGCCGCAGTGCGTTCCGCTCGGTCCCCGAGGCCGACTTGAACGTGAGCGGCGTCCAGGCGGCGACTGTGGACTGGACGACCGGCAAGTGCGTGAACCCCGTGCGCAACCAAGGCCAGTGCGGGTCGTGCTGGGCCTTCTCGGCCGTGGGTGCCGCGGAGCCGGCGCACTGCATCGTGACGGGCGAGCTCCTCGACCTGTCCGAGCAGCAAGTGACGAGCTGCTCCACCGCGAGTGGTAGCGCGGGGTGCAACGGCGGTTGGCCGTATGCCGCCATGACGTACGTGTCGACGACGGGGCTCTGCTTGGAGAAGGACTACCCGTACACGTCGGGCAGCACGAGCCAAACCGGCACGTGCAACGCCAACTCGTGCACCAAGAAGAAGCTCAGCATTGGCGCGACCGTCCGCGTGAAGGGTGAGGCGGCGCTGGACGCGGCTCTCAACACGCAGCCTCCGTCGGTGCTGGTCGAAGCGGGTAACTCGGTGTGGATGAACTACCGCTCGGGTGTGATCACGCAATGCCCCGGCTCGTACTCGGACCACGCCGTCGTCGCCGTGGGGTACGACGGCACGTCGTACAAGATCCGCAACTCGTGGGGCACCAACTGGGGTGAAGCCGGC